TGGGGCGGGGCGAGCGGGGCGCCTGCCCCGGGCCCCGCGCTTCCCGAGGCCCCGCGCATGTGCCGTGTCAAAGGCGGGGCCCCGCAAAATTTCGCTGCCCGAGGCCCCGCGGTGCTGCCCTGGATCCCACGGCACTCTCATCCGCCCCTGCCAGCTGGCCAGGAAGCCGCTTCTCTTCGCTCCCGCCCGGCTGCCCTGCGCTCAGCCCGGGAAGCTTGCTGTTAGTGTCAGTATCCCAACACTGCCCAGCCTGGAGCCTCCTCCCCGAGCCAGTGTCCCCTTCTCCACCATCCTGCATCCAGATTTCCTCCCAGAGCTTGCACCTCTCACCCCTTTCCACACCCAAATCCCTCATTCCCACCCCAGAGCCTACACATCCTGTCTCAACACAGCAAGGGTCCAGCTAGACTGCAGGAGTTTTTCAGGATTCTGGAGATATCCCAGAAAAACTCTTCTGCATCCAGGGTTGCGTTTGTTCTTCTGCTTTTTTAGTGGAAGAGCAAACAGGCTCTTTTGGTCACCCCTATATTCCTCTTTCCACAAGGAATAAGGTGGCTTCCAAAAGAAGGTTTTTTTTTCTGACATTTGGTCCAGTGTAGACAGGCCAAATGTTGGAAAAACCTCTTCTTACAGAATAATAATAATAAAAAAAAATAAGCAGCAGTATAAGGATTGGGGGATAGCAAGTGATGGAGAGGAGGAGAATACAGAGGGCGGGGCTTCAAGGAAGGGGCGGGGTGGTAGATCTTGGCTTGGTCTGTCATTTAAAAAGTGATCTTGGGTGTAAAAAGGATGGAGACCACTGCTTTAGAAACTGTGTGTGAAATAGAAATACCATACATATTTTGTAAAGGTAATTGTGATGCAGGCGATTCTAATGAATAGTAAGCTTTGTCTGCCTGTCACTGCTTATTTAATGGTGCTTCGCTAGGCTTCCTAAGCCCCACTAAGGTCCCAATTTTATAAATTAGATTTTCACCTTTAATATTAATACTCAGTCTGTAGAGCTTTTTTGGACAGGTGAGTTTCTCAGTTGTAGTTGGAGAAAAACTTTAGACCCTGAGGTATATTTCTGTCATTACTGAAATGCTGTGTGTTCCATTATGTGGATAAATTGGTCAAAATTAACAAGCACTGTTCTTTACTTTTCACAACAGGCGTGGTGCGTCACGGACCACGGGTTCCCCTGGGAGAACTCCAGAGAGCAAACACACAAGTAGAAAAAGTTTATCGGTGAGAGACGCGTGCTTGGCCTCTACATCAGAGCAATGGGCAGTACCTTGAAGATAGCAGGGAAAAGTTGATACTCTGGGAAACAGCACTGGGTGGTTGGGCCACGTTGTGCACTGTACCTAGTGGCACTGCCATCCATAAGGCTGGCTGACAACCAGTGTATTTATTCAGGATCTTGACGGTTTTGTGTTGGGGTCTTCCTATTAATACAAGTAACAATTGGCAGGAGTATTAACAAATAGGTGATTCCTAAGTTGAGGCAGCAGTGCATTGGCTGTATAAATTTCCATGAGAAACTCAGAAGAAGCTGTTCACTTGGAATATCCGTCCTTAATTACTTTTCTTCTAAAGTGTTGGGAGGCCAAGGATGCCTGAATAAATGTGCATGGGCCTGCGGAGGAAGTCGGTTTTAGGAGGGATTTGGAAGAGAGGAGGCTGTACTTTCATTGGGAATTACAGTAGAATCTCAGAGTTACAAACTCACAGGTCAACCACTCACCTCATTTGGTCCTGTACAGTACTGTTTTAAAACATGAACTACTAAAAATAAAGGGAAAGTTTTAAACACATTTTCACTTGATAAAGAAACTTTCTTTGCTTGTTTCATTTAAATTAAGATGGCGAGAAACAGCATTTTTCTACTGCATGGTAAAGTTTCAAAGCTTTTACGAAGTCAGAGTTCAGTTGTAAATTTTTGAAAAAGCAACCATAACATTAGTTATAAACGACTTCCGTTCCTGATGTGCTCATAACTCTGAAGTTCTACTGTAGCTCCATGCATAGAGGACAGAAGGGAACAGAGGGAATATTGCCTCATGGTGAAGGATCCAATGAACAAAGATCCAAGGGATTAGGCAGGGAAACTAGGGGAGTTTTGTTACATACATACAGCAACATCCTCCATTTGCTTGCCGCTTTCCAGACAGTGAGGGAGATGCTGTGTCTGCATCTCTGAGCATGCAGTCTAATTGTTTGAGTTACATTAGTGCCTAGAGGCTTCAGTTAAGAATCAGAGTCCTGTTGTACTAGGTGCTGTAGAAATATCTAGCTAACTCTGTCTCTGACCCAGGGATTTGACAGCAGAAGATAACCTGCATGTAACCGTGAATGTTAACCGATGAGCCCAGGCTCATCGGTTAACCGTTTACACAGTTACACTTTCACATCCCTAGTATCAATATGATGCAAAAGTGTACTATGCACAAAGATAGCTACACTAGAGAGATCTATCACTTCTGTGTCAACTTTCCCTCATTCTATTACTGCTGTGGAATTTTAAGATTTTGCTTTCTGGAGTACATCCACTATTCCTATTCATTCCCAATTTGGAGTAATAATCCGGATACAATGCAGTCTCTCAGCTTCTGGCTGGGATACCAGAAGACTCTGTTTTCGGGTAGAAAAAAGAAGCAGATAAGTTCATAGCAGACCCTGCTTTCCTTGAAATGATATGAAGGAAAGCATAATGAAAATCTGACTGTGTGGAAGAGATAATTGTTTATAAATAGAAGATCTTTTTAAGGAGATGCTCCACCTGGTTGTTAAATAAGAAACAGTGCTGCTGAGTATCACTGCTATAAACTCTGAACTCAGCCTTACCACTGAGTTTCTAAACTCTCCATCTGTAATTAGTGTATGTTGCGTTTTATGTTGTACATTCCTTCCCGTGCTTCTGGACTCTGAAAACAGAAGAATCCATAAGAGTGCCTGTTTTTGTTTTTTTTGTAGTCTTTATTTTTAGGAGTATGGCAGTGATCACTGAAAATGCAATGAAGTGGTTACAGAGCTGAGTTCTGGTCATTCCTCTATCTCTG